TTATTATATTTTAAACATAGGTACGATGATATATGGAAAATAAATCCATTTTTTTCAACAAAAAATAATTAAACTTATTTTTGTATTAGTAAAATAAACTGTTTTARATGCAAAATATCCATAAAATGATAAAATATACTTAAGTAATATATAGACTGATAGATCRTMTTTAGTCAGAACTGTTTTTTCATATGCAATGATTTACGATTCATATCAATTTAACATATTCATTACAACGACGTGGTCGGCAACGACGACAACTATACCTACTCATATAAAACTGCATTTGAATCTCTCCATAATGTTTCATGGTTTTCTGTAATATATCCTTACACTTCGTAAAATTTCTAATAAACGAATAATGTTTTTAATTACTGACTACATTTTTTCATTAATAAGTATACAATCGTATCAATCGACTTTCGATAATTTTGAATTTGGACTTATGAAAAATTTTGAATTGCCTACAAATTAAATTGCTGAGTGATTCGAAATATCAAGAGAGCAAAAAAATACAATTCAAATTGACTGAATTATGGAAAAAAAATCATACCTACAATAATAATTCGATAGTTATCGGAAATATTAAGCTATACACAATCGTAAGATAAATTATTAACGATAAGATTATAATTATTTTGATGAATACACTTTAAATTGTCACGGGTTGACGGTGTAGTAAATTTTACAAATCAAATTACCAAGTGAATTAAATGCATTGTTTTTATTTTACTGTGAGAATTTTAAGGGAACGAGAAATTACTTTACTGTTTTGAATTACCAGAAGTTTCAAATTATTGAGAATCGACTAGAGTAACTTAAAACATTGGGATAATTGTTGCTATTAAAATAATATATAAGAAATCAATGTAAAATGAATATATATTATCTGTTAGTTTAAAATATGTAATTTTTAAAATTCAAATTATATGTAATTTTCTGCTGTTTTAACTTTTGATAATACATTTATCTGACATGAATCGTCCGTTCATATGTATCCATTTAGGGAAAATGTATTTTGTCAATCTAATTTGGACATTGAGAATTTTTTATTATTTGATGAATGAAGAATAATCAAGTCATGTTAGCATGTTTTCTACTTTAATTACCTATATAAAATCCAACCCATTTTGAATCTAATTATAATAAGTATTATAGTTTAATCATTGTGTAAATAACAGAATAAGGTTGTATGTCATTGAGGATAATTTGAAAACAAAATAATAACAACATCCCTTGTAAGTTAGCAAGGATTATCAGTTGATAGGCTACAATTATATAATCCATGTTGTCTATGTGATGCATATTATTTATATAAACCCAGATCGGCTTAATAATTTCGTTTGTTCAGTCGTAGTAGTGACTAGTGTTTTAGACTAACACTAACAAACGGTAATAATGGATTTCAACCGAAGTGTGTCGAGACCTTTATCACAACTGGGGTATGGTACAAAATTATCAAGTAGCATAGTATAATATACGTAAAAACACGAGCTTATACTAGTTACCCATATAATATTGGGGATTTTTTGACTTTTGATTAGTTCTAGTTTCATGGAAAATGAAGATGAACTTCAATTAATGGGTTGGAATCTTACTCCAGAAGATCTTACTCATATACCAGAACATTGGTTGGCATACCCAGAAGTTAGATCACTCTACCATTATATTTTGGCATTTACTTATACAATTTTATTTTGTCTCGGTGTGATTGGAAACGGTTTGGTGTTATGGATATTTTGTGTGTAAGTACTAGAATTATATTAATAACATAATACCTATAATTATATATTGGTAGGTATGTTTATTTTTACGTTTATATAGATTCGATAAAAAAAATTAACTTATTTTTAAAACATATTAACAAGTTAGTAGTTTTAATATCTACAGGATTATAGTTAGGTACCTGTAGCTTACTGTTTTATAGTTTTGTATGACATACTTTAAGAATATTTTACTACAAGTACYTATCTACCTTTTTAAAATTAGAATTTAAGCAAAAAGTCATGTGATTTTCTATTAATTTATTGAAAACACAAGTATATTTCAATATAAATACAATATACAACCATGTCCAAYAAATATTTGAATGGATTAATGTAAAGAAATTGCTAGGTAGTAAAATATTTTGTGGTTTTAATATGGTACCTACATTTTTTTAAGACACTCAATTCGTTAATTATTGGTATAAAGTTTTATGTATTTCGTATATTTAAGAAAAAAATCAATAAAAAATTAAATATTTATGATAAATTGTAAGTAATTTATTGGTACTCAGTGCCGGCCCAAGATCGGGTGAACCGGGTGGTTGCTCGGGGCGCTACTATTTTAGGGGCGCCTTTAATAAACGAATATTTTATAAATTTTAGCTTAATATTTATTCAAATTGACATTAATATAGCTAAATGACTAAATTATCTATGATAGAATATTCTGTTATATATATATTTTTTATAGATTTTACTCCACTTTCCAGTTTTTATTATTATATTATAAATAATTAAAAATAATATACAATGATATATAATCATTAACTCGGGAAAACCAAAAAAGTATGTGTTACAGCCGATACGTCAATAAATTGTATCCAAATAATTTTTGCAATCCTTTATGTATCCATAAATATAAGAATTTTAAACAAAATATGTAGGTAAGTATAAAAAGTATTGAATGTATTATGGAGCACTTGATTAAGGGCGCCTTTCAAAAAATTGTCCGGGGCGTCAAAATACTTTGGGCCGGCCCTGCAGCTGGTACTGATTATGGTTTTGGTTATCTTAGAATATTACTACATATGTATAGTAAAAAACATACTAAATATTTGAAATTTTTAGTCTTTAATATTTCAGTCTTCAAGTGTAACCGTGCGGTACTCGTCAGTCTTCACGTCAACTTGTTAAAATATTCACTATTGAACATTATCTATTGTAATCATTGGTATAGTGTCATTAATTATTTTCAATAAAAAAAAATAGAATTTTTCTGAAGTATTAACATTTGATAGTTTTAATAGAGATGTCAAAACATATTTAACTTGAATTTTGAACACTTATAATATAGGTACACACTATATATTTAAATACATATTGTKTTTATATTGTATAATATGATATACAATAATAGGTCCATAAAACTTTCCATTATTTTCCCTACTTATTTTTGAAGCGTTTATAGATCAAGCAACATTGAAAACCTAGATCCTTAATCCAAGATTAAAAGTTATTTTTTAAATTGTTTATTGACTAAAATGTTTATTATTTTTTGTAYAATTGTGTAGTTAAATTGAAGATATCTTTTATTTTAGATCAAAACCATTAAGAACACCTTCCAATMTGTTTGTGCTCAATTTGGCGCTGTGCGATTTTTCCATGGTCTTAGTACTTCCAATCCTCATTTATGATTCAATAGATCATAAATATCCAGGTCATTTACAATGTCAGATATTTGCATTGTGTGGATCTATTAGTGGCATTGGAGCAGGAGCCACAAACGCTGCAATTGCTTATGATAGATATAGGTATAGTTATTTTATAAATTATATTTTAATTATTAATTTGACAAATTGAACGCGAAGACAATAAACTAAAAATAAAAATAGTAAAACTGCTATTCGAAAATTATTATCCTTACTTTTCACCACTGCGCATAATATTGTTTATTTCATACAATGACATTTWAAAAATATTTATATTAATCTTAAGTGATTTGTACCAGTGTATTACTAACTTATTGAACTATTCAAATTTTAATTTCAGTGCCCTACTCTGCAATGGCGAGGTAAACTTAAAATCTACTAATG